GGTTACTCCTGGTTGATCATTTCCACAATACTTCCCAGCCTTAGCGTCTCTTTAGATTAGCCAACAACTGTATGCATACACATCTAGAAGACATGAAGCAATATACAGTATACACCCCATTGATGCATCTCTGCTCACCTGATGGATGTATGATTTAATTGATCACACAAATGTTCAAATTGGTTAAGAGGCCCTATTATGCTTTTTGGGGTTTTCCCTTTCCTGTAGTGTTGTAAAGGTTTCTGTGCATGTCAATGGTCTGCAAAGGCTGCAATCTCAATGTTCACACCAGAGGGAGTTTCTCTCACACAAATAGACCCCCCCTGCCTGAAACGCCTCCATTGGCCTCCACTGTGAACTTCCGTAACATAATGTCATCACTATGTAACACTTGCGCTTCTATTGGCTTGCACTCCAACACATTGTTTGTTATAGTCCAAGGGCCAACATTGAACATTAAAACATGTAAACATGTCACAGTAGAGGCACACAATACAAATATGAACCTGAAAATGAGCACAATAGTGCCCTTTAAGAATGAGCAAAGAGACTATGAAATACAGTCCTGTACAGGTCATAAAACAAACAAAAACAGGTGGCATTTGGTAGAACTAAAAAATAAGTACAACTGTTAGAAATGTCCTTAGTTTGTCTTACACTAGAGCATTTTGTCAGAAACCATAAGATTAGGCAAATGGAAAATTGACATTTGACCTGTTGGTGGCGGTAAATAAAACATTACAGGATCACTAAGGTGATTACAAATCCTCCAGAAGTGGACATTAATGTCAACAAACTTTCATGGTAATCCATCCAATAGTTGAGATGTTTCACTCAAAACCACAAAGGTCGCCCTCATGGTGTTTTAGATAGTAAAACAGATAAGTGAAAGTCTGACCGGCTGTTGCCGCCAGATGAAATGTCATCGGATCACTGAAGTCATTAGGATTTGTGAACTACATGGCTAAAAATAGAAAAGAGGACTGATTGTAAGCAGATACAAGTGGACTCCATGACACCAACCTGCTTTAACACAGCATTCATATGGGATCTGTAAAAAGCCAGTGTTACAAAACAAACCATGCTAAAATATTTGCATTAAAACAGATTGGATAAACTGAGAATATATTTCAGGTGGTTATATCTAAATAATCTGCATGTCACAACTGAATATGACAATATGAAAGTTGGTGAAACATTGTTATCATGGTTCAATGCTTACAAATTAATAAATACAATGTTTGCGGTATTTACTCAAAGAGGCCCTATTATGCTTTTTGGGGGTTTTCCCTTTCCTGTAGTGCGTCATATAGATTTGTGTGCATGTAAATGGTCTGCAAAGTCTAATATCTCAAAGTGTACATCTGAAACACCTCAATTGGTTTCAGACAGGGGGTAAAAGGAGTTCTATTTTGTCCCTACTGACCGCCAGAGGTGGTGCTTTAGCACTGGATATGTCCATCGCGCGCATGTGCAGCTCGAGTACCAATAACAACAAATTCACCTGTGACCCACGTGACACCGGCTATATCTGCCGGTGTCGTCAGAGGATCTGTTCCTTGCATCTTCTCGCTGCGCGAGAGTACCGTGGCTGCATTCTTGTAGCCTACAGCGTTCAGTTTGAACGTTTGATCTGAGGGATTTCTCTGCATGCAGCTGGCCGCGTGCAGCTTCGCGACTGATTCAGTCGGAGCCGCGGGTCGTTGACTCGTCTTCCAGGAGCTGTGGCCGGCTGTGCAGAGCCTCAACGGACAGGTTTGTGTCAACTTTGTTGGTGATGGCCGCGTCCCTGCACCCTCTCCCAGCTAAGTTGTCCTGATTGCTGTCTTGTTTATTGTTTGGCTTAGACTTTCTGGTGACGACAGTGTTCCCGCTTCCTCTCCCATAAAGTTGCCCTTATTGTGCTCGTTTGTACTTTCTGCTTGTGGCGTTGTGCCCGAGCTATCATTAGCATTTTGAGTTTCCAGCTTTAGCTGCGTTTCTTGTTTTATTTAGTTAGCAGTAGCGTGGCTCAGCCTAACTATATCGTTGTTATACTGCTCCTAGTACTAGACTCCTAGCACTAGGATGGGTTAGATGCAGAGAACAATCTTCACTGTGTGTGCTGTGTGCTCTGCATGTGTGGCCATTAAAGAGGGTTTCATCCCTCCCAATATTATATTATTGCTAGTGTGCAGCCGTTTGGCTGACACTTTTAAGCACTGGCCATGGTTACAACTGTAACTACGGTTCTATGCCGTGTAAGTACTGGCCACGGTTACTACTGTAACTACGGTTCTATGCCGTGTAAGCACTGGCCACGGTTACTACTGTAACTACGGTTCTATGCCGTGCTGTTCTCTTCTTTAGAAGCTAATGATCTGGTCTTAACATTTGTGTTATTTGACTTGGACTTGCTTGATTGTTAGTAGCCGCTTGGCTAACATCTTGCCTGTTCTGTTAAGCTTCTTTATTTAACTCAGCTGGTGAAGGCAGTGCTCCCGCTCCCGGTAGAGCAGGGGTCGGCAACCCCTGGCACGGCATGCGGCACCGTAACCAGTGGCACACTAGGAATAAGTGGAATAAGTGTGCAAAATATTTAAATTGTATTTCGGATCCTGAAAGAGAGCGCCGCCAGAACGCGTCTCCCCGTTACCTGCAGAAGGAAGCCATGCACGCAGCGCAGCCCCGCTCTGTTTAACTCCAGGCGACTTTCTGCCGCTTTCCTCCGTGGTGCAGGGCTGATCGTTTCACCACAGAGGAAAGCACTTCACAAATTGCAGTACCCATAAGGAGCTTTACAAATGCCGCAGTTTTTGCGTGGCTGTGTCTTCAGTTGAAAGCCCAGTGGCGATCTGCTCATCTCTCATTGAAATAACATGCTACACAGGGGCGGACTGGCCATCTGTGTGTTCTGGAGAATCACAGCACGGACGGTCGTCCTTATTATTATGCCGTTTAAACCAATTATTGAAATTAGTTTGTTAAATTCGGCATCATGTAAGTTGCGCTGACAGGTCCACACACAGCTTCCCCGCAGCGAGGCTCCCCCCGCCCTCCTGTTGACAGTTCACGAGTGTCGAGCTAGGTAGAGGACTAGAAACAAGCTGTCCTCTAAGGTGGATCGGTTTGCTGCCGACATGGAGCAGATGAAGTTGCTCCTCTTGGCCCTTCAGTGGTGTGGGGGCTACTAGCTTGCCGCCTGGCCCTCCTTCGGTCGCCGCACCTCTGCATGAGGATGCCATGTCGCTATAGCGGCTTCAGCTAAACCTCTTCTATGAAGGGGTGGAGGACGGGGCCCCGCTCACTCCCGAGGAGGCTTCCCACTCCTCTGCTCAGAGCTCTCTGCAGGGCACGGAGGACGCCTCCATGGCGGCCATTATTCGTGCGGCCCTGGCACGCTTGCAGCTTCAGGTTCCGCAGGCCGACTCGGCTCAGGCTAGCGCCTTCTTCAGGCATAACCCTGCCCCTGTCACTCTCACTGTTCCTCCTTCAGAGGAGTACCTGAGGGAGCTCCATGCATGCTGGAGAGGCACCAGGGCCATGCAGGATCCGGCGAGGGTGGGGCTGGGTCGCTTGCCATCCATTGAGCCTGCCATCGCCTCCCCGATTCTGGCTCCTGATGAGGCTCCAAGGCCTGATGCCAGGTGCCCTCGGCCTCAGTGCAGGGTCACAGACTAACTACTCTGTGAGGCCTGCGACACAGTGGCACGCATGGGTCGTAACGGGAACTCCCTCTCCCATCTGATGCTGGCTGTCTCTACCTCTCTGCAGCAGGCTCCGGCCGAGCCTTCTTTGCTGGGCCTCAGTGATGCATCACTGCAAGCCTTTGCCCTAATGTCTAGGGAATTGGGACGAGTTATGTCCTTATTGGTGCAGACTCGTCGCCAGGTTTGGCTTGCTCAGTCACCACTGTCGGAGACATGTCCTCCGTAGTGTGCCAGTCGAGTCAGGGGAGCTGTTTGGGGCAGCTGCCCTGGAGGCACTGGAGCGTGCTGCCCAAGCTAGGCGGACCAGGCAGCATTTTCCACCTTCTTCCCACCTTCAGGCCGGGCAAGATGGTGCCTTACATTCAGTTCCTCCGGCTCCTGGGCGGACTGACGGCTGCCTCAGCCATTGTGCCATTAGGCCTGCGGTCGCTGCGCCCCATGCAAATGTGGCTGAACAGCCTTCACTTGGACGCCATGTTGCACAGGCACAGAAGAGTCACGGTGTCTCAGCAGTGCCTCCACTCTCTGTCCCGCTGGAGGGACAGGGCCTATCTTTTGATGGGCGTGCCCAGGGGCGCCATCCCATCCCGCCGGGAGACTGTCACTGCAGATGCATGTCTCTCAGGGTGGGGTGCAGTGTGGCAGGGCAGGACTGTTCAGGGTCAGTGGTCTGCCCAGGAGGGTGCACGCCATGTCAACGTGCTAAAGCTTCGGGCTGTGCAGCTTGCACTCACACACTTTTTACCCCAACTGGGGGGCAAGCATGTGCTTGTTCCTTCGGACAACATGCCCACTGTTGCCCAGACTGCAGTCCCTTCTAGATAGTGGACGTTCTCACTCCACTTTGAGAGTTTAGGTGGCTGCTATTTCTGCCCGACATGTTCGGGTCGACGGCGCCACGGTGGGGTGCCACAGGTCGGTGTCCCTCTTCCTGAGAGGGGCTTTACGGCAGCGTCCCCCTAGCATCCCGAGGGCTCCGGCTCGGGACCCGCCCCTGCTGCTGGATGCCCTATCATCTCCTCCCTTCGAGCCCCTGGCCCAGGTGAGGCTTAAGTGGCTGTCCACGAAGGCAGCATTTCTGCTTGCCATGGCCTCAGGGAAGCGAGTTGGGGAGTTGCATGCCCTCTCCGTGAGCGATACATAGCTGAGGTGGGACTCTCAGGTGTTGCCCTTTGGGCAAATGTGGCGTTCCTGCCAAGGTGCTTCCACAAACCCACTTCAATCAGCCTGTCCAGCTGGCACGCTTTGACATTCAGGAGAACGGCACTTCGGAGTTGCTGTGCCCTGTGGGTGCCCTAAGGGGGTATATCGATGCTACTGCCTGTATACGGCAGTCGGAGCAGATCTTCGTTTGCCATGGCGGCACTAAAAGAGGTTGTGCCCTCTAAACAGCGGCTGCCCCACTGGGTTGTCGATACCATCTCACATGCCTATGGGGCCAGTGGCCGCCGCCTGCCATCAGGGCTGAGATGCCACTCTACAAGGAGCATCTCAACATCTTGGGCTGCCCTGAGAGGGGTGCCCCTGGAGACCATCTGCACCGCGGCGTCGTGGGCGTCTTCTGGTACATTCTCCAGGTTTCATCGGGTTAATGTCGCCACTCCCCACCCTTTGGGCGTGGTCCTTTTGCCGAGCTCCGCTGCTTCCAGTAGTGAGCAAGGGCTTGGATTCTTCATGATATGGTAACGAAATAGAACAATAGAACGATAGTTACGTCTGTAACTACGGTTCTATGAGTCCCGGATGACCGCCAGAGTATCCTGTCACTCAGATTTCTTGTGTGCTCGCGAGAAGATTCTGGGAATAGATCCTCTGACGACACCGGCAGATATAGCCGGTGTCACGTGGGTCAGGTGACTTTGTTGTTATTGGTACTCGAGCTGCGCATGCGCGCAATGGACATATCCAGTGCTAAAGCACCGCCTCTGGTGGTCATCGGACTCATAGAACCGTAGTTACAGAAGTAACTATCGTTGCTGCAGCACAGGCAGTATGAGAAAAATAAAGACCTTTTTGAACATTAAAACATGTGATGGCACTATATACAAAAATGTAGCAATAGGGCACCTTAAAAAATATATATTCAAAAGCAAATGTGTCATTGCCCGCCTTTGACTGATAACTCATTGTGGATATTAAATGTTTTAAAGTTTTCTGACTACATTTTGTTTTGTATAACAAGTTGCAGGATAGGTCCCACTAGGACGTAAAGACATGGTTTGAAAGACTCTGATACATATGATGTCTTATACTCCTATAATTCACAAAGACATATGATTTACATGTGGTTTAATATTCGAAAAGGCTGAACACATTCACCCTAGTGTCACTGGCCCAAACTAGAGGATACATATAGAAAGCTACTAGTGATCAACTGGTTAAAAACCAAACCTAGCTTTGTTGATTGATAAACAGGTTTTTTGGGTCCAGTGGTGCGTATTGGCTAACTGATTCAAGTGGTTACTTTTCTTCCAAACGTAATCTAATAGATTGCAATGATTTATACATTGAGAGAACTTTTCTGTGTCAGTTGTTTCTGAAAGGCTTTATATTATGAAAAATCTGGAAAAAGAGCTGTCAAAGTGAACGCATGGTATTATGGTGCGAGATCCTTATTTGGGCCAGATCAGAATCCTTTCCCACAACGTACAGCTTACTGCTGCCGCCTACACAACAAAGGCCCAACATAACTAGCAGGCAAGTTATGGGTTTTGTACTCTAAAAGTTTAAATCTCATTTCCATCTACACTGATCTCATGTTTGGCCTTTCTGGAATCCAACTGACGTAAATCCTTGATGGAAGCAGATAACTTTTGTCCCAGTAGATGTATATTTTTGGCAGACAGTGTGCAACCTTCTGTTTCAGCAATGTCCATGTGTCTGGCAATCTGAGATTTTGCAGCAGTGGAGAGCCTCCCTGCCAGAAGCCTGTTGCTTGTAAACCATGGCAGACCGTCCTCAGTGCGTCCGAAGACTGTAGAGATGTCGGCGTCCTGTCTTGAAACACGGACTCTGTCTCTTTAAACATGAATTTTGATCTAACTTATATGCAGAGTTTAAAAAAGGTTCTCTGTGCAATGACATTCCTAATTTGCCTTCCACTCCACGCATACAAGAGAATAAGCACTGTGTGCATTAGGCTACATAATAAGAGATGAGTGCCAACCTTTATGCAGATAGTTGGTAAATGTCTGTGAGTGTGTGGTATATTTTTATATCTGTGTGTGTGAGGTGGAATATTGTAGGGACTGGGGCAGATGACGACATTGTTTATAGGGGACAAAATTGGTAACCAGAACTGATTACAAAAACACAAAGCTCTTCATGCACTAACCTCTTAATTTTGCTCCAGATTGATGCGTTAGACTTGAATATGTTCCCCCTAAGAGTGTGCTGGCTCAACCCACCATAGTCCCACTCCCTAAAAATCTTGTGGAAAACACAGGAAAAACATAGCTGAAGCCCAGGTTTCCCTTTACGCCCTATTGAAAAAGTGAACCTCCCTGATGGTCTTTGTAATTTGCATGGTTTCCTCTGTAGACCCCAAAACAATCTGTCTTGTGTATTAATCCACTGGTTTTAAGGTTTTCTGTGACTGCTGCAAAACACCCGCATTGACATTTATCTATCACATGCAGTGTTTATTAATGACATTGTTTTTGGAATAATGGACAGCGCTGTTTTTAGGGTGCATGTGAGGGACGCTGTCCGTAGTGCTGAAACCAGGCAGAGGAGATCTACAATGACAGACAAACCGAACATGGTTTTAAATGTACTTAGCACACTTATTGGTTATAAACAAAGAAAAGGGGTGTGGGGGCAAACAGTTGTTTCTTTATGCTCCCTTACTGATTATGATAAAACATCAAAAATATTTTAGCGCTCTGACTATGCTCAATTCTTAATCTGAGTGCTCTGATTAATAATGTCTTATTTCATTTTTAAACATTACTCTGTTGTTGTGTTGGGGTACTTCAGCTTTATGGTTAAATAAATTAAAAAATACCCCCCCAGGCTCGTCCAGCCTAGCCTGGGTGAATACTTAGAAAATGGTTGTGAAACTACTCAAGAATACTTAAATACTTATAAAGTCATATTTATGTCTCGATGCATACCTCCCCACAGCCCCTTTACGAGTCATACAATTATGGCCCCCTATTTCAGTGGGTGCATGCCATGGGTACCACTTCCACTTTGTATCTTACATGTAAAATGCAGACGGTCCCTGCGCGGCGGAGGAGGATCCGAACGGGAATGAGCACGGGGCGGCTGCACGCAGCGCGGAGCCTCGCTGGGGACCGCAGCTAGCGAGGCTCTACTCTCCCGGTGAGGACATGTTTATTGTTGTGTTATTGTTGTTGTCACTTGCTTAGTCAGTAATGGGGCTAAAAATGACACATGGTTACGTTATAGGCCTACAACCACAGTGCGACATGATGATGATAAAAGGGGTTGTGGAGAAACTATAGGCTGACACTTTATGACATGTCAGTGTGTCAATGAACTGCCTTAAATAATTGCATTAAATAATGTGAAGGGCCCCTGTCTACAGACAGAAATATAGTTTTCAGTCTGCATCTTACTGAAGCATGTTTGTCCCTGATGATATGTTGGTTATTAAAATCTGCTAGAATTAATAGACTAGTATGTCTGAATAAACAGTCAATTAGTATTTTTAATTTAACTTTAAAGTGGGCCTCCAGAGAAAACTTAAAGGCCTCTGAAAAAAGTCTGTCCTGAGTTCAACATACTTATTAACACTCACAACTACATTTTCAGAATGTGTATCCAAACGTACAAGTTATGGCGAGGTCCAGGAAAGGAAACTTCTGAGTCCTGACTAGGGACAATTGTTGCATGTCAATCCCCATTTATCTCACCTTGTCATAAAATGCCCCAAAAATATCTATTGAAGAATGTTTGTATAGGTAATTGAATTGTTTTCTAAAGTGGTGCAGTGTAGTATTTGTGTAGGCCTACCAGGAAGTAACCATCACAAGTGGTTCCTTTGACAAAAAGCAATGTGATTTTTCAATGTGATTTTGGAATGTTGCAGAAAATAGGCTCTGTGGCAAACACGGATACTTACAATCGCTAGAAGTTAAAAGCTATTGTTAGGCTATAAACAAACTAAATCATGGTGTCATCACTTGAGCTAAAGGCGGCCTTATGTTTGACGTGGAATATTTACTGACGTGTTTTATGTGAAAGAGAAAAACGTGTACATCTCTGAAGCTTGTGTTAACCACAGACAATATTTCAGGCATAACCACAAACATGTTCAATAAACTGTTGACTTCAAACCCGGAGTGCTAAGACTTGGTAGATTGTTCCGGATAACTCTGGCTTTTGCTTTTCTTGTCTGCTAACACCTTGTATTGATGTTAATAAACATTTCACTGCACCACTCTATTAGGTGTTGCTTTGTGGTAATGTATAACATATGTAAAGGCTCTTTTAATATGTCTCCTGCAACTCTCCAGACTAAATGGAAGTACAGTAACATACCCTTCTGACCTTTGGGAAACAGATTGAGTGTTAAAGGCCAACCCACACACATGCTGAAAATGCCCTGAGCGTTTGCAGGTTAGACCCTCTCTCCCAGAGGATTCATGGGTACGTTTTTAAGATGCTAGTGAAGTTGTTGCCTTCATCTCGGATAGACGTTTAATCCGGGGACAAAATCAATGTCTGTGACACAGTCTACAGCAGTAATCCTTAAATCCAGTCCTTGGGGTCCGGAGTGTTGTTGGTTTTCTTTTTTCCCTGCTAGTTGAAATTCACCTGGCGTCCCAGTCCAAATATGTTTCTGATTAGGCGTCTAGAATGAAAACTGCCTGGCAGAATAAAAAGTAAGCATCAATCTGCACCCTGGAGACTAAATTGCAGGAGCACAGGCTATAAGTACTCTAATAAAATGACAGCAGTTGTTATTGTTGGCTAAATTGCCTCCATCACAACATTGTGTTGCCACTGTGTCATGACCCTGAGGCCTTGTATGTAACATGCATTGTTAAACAAATGTCGATTCCAGAGAATACTTTCCCATCAGCTACACTCCCCGCTTTATTTTGTGTTTGATTTACCGTTTTCTGCCATTCATATTAGCTTGTATCCAGGAATGTCCTCGTCATCACGCTGCTTTACAATAAAAAAGCTGAAACGTTTCATATTCTTAACCATTGTTTCCTACAGTAAAACTGCTCAAGAATTTTAGGATTTCAACTTCATGATCCATACTTGTATTCCAGGTCAGGTATTTGACTCTCTGCTGCTGTACAACACATTCTCACTCCCAACTCGGCCTATGTTGACGTTATGGCAGGGTCCCTGTCGTCACTTTCCAACGCAAGGGGGGGCCCTTTAGTGTCGAGTTTCAACTTTCGGGGATGTCCATAGACTTCTATAGAGCTCCCTAAACCTATGTAGTAGGATAGTGGTGGTCTAATGGATAGTGAGGTGGGCTGATGATCGGAAGGTTGCGAGTTCAAATCCTGCCTGGAACATCACTACTAGTGTGCCCTTGAGTAAGGCACTTAGCCCTTAGTTACTCCAGGGAGAATGTCCCTATAATTGGTAATTGTAAGTCGCTTTGGATAAAAGCGTCAGCTAAATGAAATGTAATGTAATGTAATGTAGTAGACGACTTGAGATCGCGAGCGAATGCTCCCCGCTGCGTTGAAATTCAATGGCCGCGGCCGGTTCTCTGCTGAAGCATACAATGCGTGACTGCTTTGCATTAAAAACATTATGCTCTCTATATATTGTCTTTATTATGCTTTAAAGGGCCCATGTCATGGCCATTTCCACTGATCATAATTACATTGTTGAGGTATACTAAAATAGATTCATACTGTGCAATTTTCCAAACTCACATTGGTTTCGCATACAGCATCTCTGTCAAGCATGTGTATTCAGCAGTATTCACTCTCTCCACTAAACGACTCGTTGGAGCTCTTGCCCCCCCCCTCCCTGTGAGCCTAGTGTGCTCCGATTGGTCAGCTCGGCCACTCTGTTCTGATTAGTCAACCACCAGAGAGGCTCCGCCTGCTTTTTTCGGGGAACATCAGTGTAATAATGGCGTTGGTACAGCCGTATATTTTATACGCTAACTAACCGAACTGTACCTACAACTGTTGTTATAGAAGAGTGTGACGGCCCCAGGGCCTTTGTGCAGGTGTGTTGCAGGTCTTACGGTGGGGTGGAGCTGAAGAGGCTAATCAGCGCGATCACGGACACCTCCGTAGCCGAGGTGCGATTAATCCCAGCGGCTCGGCGATTCTCTCCCCGACTACCTATCTCTGCATTTACCACAATAAATGTGCCGTGGTTTTGTAAACTCGTGTATGTCTCCTTGCCTTTCCGTTGTGGCCTACGAGCCGGTCATAACAAAGAGTAAGTTATTTTTACCTGTAATAAACTACTACTGTTTGATGAGAAATCAAATCATGGTTTGCTATATATGAATGATATGTTATAGGAGCAAATAATTCAGGGAAGAAAGGGTAGGCCTACTAAGTATTTCCATTAAACTTTATTTTTAGAAATGTACAAAATGAACATAAATATACATATATACACACGGTATATCATCCATTCCTCCCCGCATCTTGCCTGGGCGCAGCCGGTGCCTTTTAGCACGAGGCCCCAGTAGTAGTAGTAGTCCCGTCCCTGTCATGTATTGTCCGCCAGGATCTGGCTGGACGAAATCAAATGCAAATCACAAAATATTAGAGAAACTTAGTTGTTTTAGATTCGTTAGTAGTAGTTGTGGTAGGAGTGTGGATCTATCTAATGAACAGCTTGCCTGCCAATATGCTAACCTAGCTTTGTTTACCTTGGTAGCTAACACGATATGAACGTTAGCTTGGAGGAACGGCAACTATAATGGAGTGTAATAAAACTACTATGAACAAAAGCTAGTGGTTCATATTAGGCTAGCAATAACGTGTTTATAATTGCAATATTATACGGGTATTCTGCTACGTTCGGTCATACATTGTAACTTGCATGAATACATTGTTTTGCACTAGCATACAGCTAGCCTCGTTAGCTATACATGCAGTATGTACATGTACTGTCACAATGTACGGTAAATCACCCGGAGTATACTGTATGAGTATTCCGTGTGTGTGACTGCAGACATTCTCCTGCCATGACAAACATGTAAGGCCATCTGCTGACATTGTAGTTGATATATTTAAACGCTAGCAACGTAGCATAACAAAAATGTTTTTCCGACCAAACTAAGGTCTAGCTCTGTCGGTTAGATCGGTAGCCAGCTATAATGTAATTACGTTTCGCGACTGACCGTACGGTAAATCACCAGGAGTATACGGTCTATGACTATTTCGTGTGTGAATGCAGACATTATCCAGCTATGAGGAACATGTATGTAAGGCGATCTGCTAATATTGGAGTTGATATATGGAAACGCTAGCAACTTAGTTAGCCCAGTTAGCACTATGTCAATGACTTAGGAGTCCGGTTTACACATTTAACCAGTCGTGGTAGATACCTTGTTTGATAAATACACAAATAACAATGCAAACTTACAGGTTGTGTACCCGAATCTTCCCCTACTCCAAATGGTCCAAACAAACTATAGCCTCGTTGTTTGTGTAGCTCGGTAGCATACACGCTCGGAACGCCAGCTATAATGTAATTACGTTTCGCGACTGACCGTACGGTAAATCACCTGGAGTATACTGTCTATGAGTATTTCGTGTGTGAATGCAGACATTCTACATACATGTATGTAAGGCCATCTGCTGATATTAGAGTTGATATGGAAACGCTAGCAACTTAGTTAGCACAGTTAGCACTGGCTTAGCAGTCCGAAACATGTTTACACATTTAAACAGTCGTGGTAGATACCTTGTTTGATAAATACACAAATAACAATGCAAACTTACAGGTTGTGTACCCGAATCTTCCCCTGCTCCAAACGGTCCAAACAAGCTGTGCATATCCGGCCTCAAACTGGGCAATGTTTTGGAAGCTTTCGTCTGTGAAATGCCGGTTCTTCGAACCTCTGAAGGAGCAGTGTTAAAAAGAAATTTCAACCACTGACTTCGTCGTGGATCTTCCGTCGGTAGGACAAACAGCTCAGATTTCTCCTCACATTTCAGGAAACAGGTCCTTGGCAGTGGCATGACTGGATCGATTGTGAACTGAACCAGAGCTTCCAACAGTAAATGTTAGGCTGGCAGAGGGTGCGGCCAGCGCCGCTGGGTGTGGCCATAGCTCTTCGGGATTGGTCCATTTTGTTCCGGGTACCGCATGACATCAGGCCGTACCCGGAACTAAATGGAAGACTCAAATGGGCAGTGACGT